GCTGCTGCCTGCCTCACTGGGGCAGTGGCTGCTTTGGGTGGGTGGAGGCCAGCAGTCACCATCATGCAGACAGCACATGCTTCGTTTCACTTTTTTGGTGACCAGTGTCTTGTGATGTCTGTGAGGGCCTGGGCTGTCTAGACTAGCGCCTTTTAAGCCATGGGTTGTGACGTCAATGGGGTGGGCATGGCCACAGAGCAGTGACAGGCTAAACAGAAGGGGCAGAAATCACGTGAGGAGGGCATCTGGGTATGGCCAGGAGGGTTAGCTGCAAATATGAGCCCTGGTTAGAAGTCTAACCGTCTTCTGCTATGGGACAGCGAAGGCCTCGGCCGGCTCATCTGCTCGGACAGCTGCTGGCAATGGCCTGTGTTTGCAGGGAGCTCTCCTGCCCCACAGGCTGGCCTCTCTCCCACTACCAAATGCTCTTGGTGGGGCCCCCTAGTGGCCACCAAGCTTCCCTTCAGAAACAGCAAGGCTGGGGAAGGGATGAGTTGAGCCTGGCGGCAGGGAGCTGGCTGTGGTGAAGACATTCTCAAAAGCCTGCTGGAATACTAGGCACAGGTAACAAGGAGCTTGCAGCCACACACACCCCTTTCTCCAGGCCTTCTGAAGCGTGGGAAGAGCCTCGGGCACCGACTCTGACACCTCGGTTGCTCGGGGGCTTGGTGACCTCCTGACACGGCCATTATCAGAGCAGGGAGACAGATGAGGCCAGAGGCCACAGCAGGGACGGAGAGAGAGGGGGGCACTGGCAAGCTGCTAAGTGCAAGGCGAGGACTGGCTTGTCCCGAGCTGCGCTGCAGGCCCACCTCCCACACCCCAGGGCAGCACAGCAAACCACAACCCAGAGAGAGGCCTGGTTGAGTCCTGAGGCTACACTGCCCTCTGCTGGCCAGTGCTGGAAAGCCTTGCAAGCCATCTGTCAGCCACCACCTGCCCTTGGGAGACCCAGACCTGGAGCACAAGTGGACCTGTGCTCTAAAAGGTTTGGAGAGGAGCCATGGCACCCAGCTGAGGAGGAGCGCCCCAGCTGTTTTCCAACTCAGAACCCCCGACTGAGGACGCGTCCTCTTGCCCGGGCGTAAGGAGAAGCAGAGAACTTCACAGCTCGGAGAGTCTTGCACAAAGGACTCAACCTGGGATGCCCCGCTTCCCGGTGGATTTAGGCATGGTTGGTGGTTTTCCTGTTGGCCCGGCTATAGCCTTTATGGGTCTGAGAGCCGGCTCAGAGGGGTATTTGAGAACCACTCCTTCCCCAGGACGGGCGGCCCCTGGCTCCTTCCCCATTTCTTTGGATGTGTTCACAGCCACCTGCTTGGAGCTAGATGCAGTGGGCAGCTTCTTCTGTGGCCTCCCACTCAGGAAGGGCCTCCAGTGACCTTGTTTAACACCACCCTCTATGTGAACATGCTGGAAGCATCAACTAACAAGCCCGCCGCCACACTTGGCAGGCCCTGTCATCAAAGCCCTGCCTGCTCGCCGCTGTGAACAAGAAAGCAGCATGCAGCTGGTGCTTCCTGAAGGAGTGACCCGACCAGTGGGTTCAGGGGAACTCCAGGGACACAGCCGGAAGGTCCTCTGGGAGCCAACAGGAAAACTCCAAGAGGCTCAACAGCCGCAGGCCCCTGTAGGCCCCATGGCTCTGCACTGAGAGACGCCCAGACATCTGAGGCCACACATGTCCCCACCCCTTCCCTGGGATCCACACACACACAGAGCAGCTGGGGGTGGGATCTGGCCCACAGAAACAGGAAAGGGACCTGGGAGCCACTGGCTAGGAGGTGGGATGGCCTGCAGTACTTGGCTGACAAACTTGGCCTGCAGCACAGACCAGGCTGGGCAACGGCTAGACCTCGCGGGTGAGGACTGTGGCCCATAGTGGCTGGGAGGGGGGCCCGCACGCCTAAGGTCACCATGAGCAGGTAACAGTGGTGCATGCCTGCATTCTGAGCACTTGGGAGGCAAGGGCCCCGCTGTACATCCAGGCCAGCCTGGGCTACAGTGTGGGACCCCAGTTTAACTGTTTGCAGGGAGATGTCCAGCCTGTCTGGCTCTGCATTCACCAGCTCCCGACTCCTTGGAGTCAGTGCACTAGGATCCCATAGATGGATTGGAAAACTGAGGTGTGAGGGGAAGCCTCTGTGCTCGGGATCGTACAACATGGCTCCTGGAACACTCGTGTGATATATGCTGAGAAGTGTGGGTATACTCACCCCTGGGACCACTGACAGACTGAGGGGGCTGACTGTCACCTCCACGCCTGCCTGTTCTGAACTAGCTCTGACTCCACAAACGGTCCTATTGCTGTTAAATAATCTTTCACCACAAAAGCTAGGTAGGGCCCAGAGCCCAGGCCTGTGCTTAGTGCCTGGAACACATGCCCCGTCCCAGGAGGGACTCAGCTTCGGGACAGACCCCACTCTATACTCTCTATACACGTTTTCTGGTCCCCTACCTTATGATGAAGGACCGTGGCTTTATGTTGGGATAACAGTGTGATTTATTATTTACCGAATGCACTAGGTGCCTGGCAGATCAATTTCAATAAAACAATGGATTATAAATGCCGCCAGCAATCTGGCAGTGGCAGTAATCAACAAAACATGTTCTAAATGCTGCATAATAAATTGACAATAATAAACTCATAATGATTCCACTGGCTACATTTCAAAGTTAGCACTAGAAAAACAAAATCACCAATTTGAGCTGGGCACGAACATCCGTGGGCTCCCCAGCCCACTCCTGTTCACAGCTGTATGCAGAACACAGGTGCCACATGCTGCCCACAAGGGCTGAGGTCGCAGCAGCTGGGCTATATTGAGGCCTAAGGGACACAAGCATCCTAGCTGACCCCTAACAATCCGGGGTCCCCAGGAATGCAGGTGGTACTGGCCTTCCCACAGGGCAAGAGCCCCCTTTAGACAGACGGCGTTGACAGAGAGGAAGTAGCTGCTTTCTCTGCTGTGTGCTGAACTCAAGAAAAGTCAAACTCATGGCCAAGGGGGCTCCCACCAGTCAGAGCTCTCCCAGGATGGTGGGGACCTGCTCATGTGGCTGGCCTCCGCCTCTGCCCTGGGTTGGGGGGTCCAGCGTCCTGTCCCCCGGTCCTAACCAGAATATCCCAGAGCCAAAGATTATCAGAAAAGCTCTTGGGCAGTGAGACCTTGTGGTACAGACCAAAGTGTCAGCTCCTTGGAGGCTGAGCCAGGAGGATGAGACTTCAAGTCCCTCCTGGAAGACTTAGTAAAACTCTGTCTCAAGGTAACAAGGGAAAAGAGAGCTGGGCTGGGTATGGTTCAGTGCTAGTGTTTGCCAAACATGCTTAAGGCCCTAGGTAGGAGGGCATGCCAGGAAGAGTGGGTGAGGGGTAGAGGAGGTCAGGGAGGGGGGAGCTTGGGCCATCATAGTGCCTGAAGAGGCCAGGCGCCTCTCTTGCTGCCACTGGCTCCAACATGGCCTAGAGGGGAGGGAGGGCCTGCTCTTCTCCTCCTCGTCTCCAGATGAGCCAAGGCTGAGGCAGCGACTCGTGGGCCCAGCACCCTGGGGAACCTCAGCCACTCCAGCCCCAGTGCCTAGAGGCAGCTCCCAGGGCTCTGAGGCCTAGGCACAGGCCCAGGATTCCAGGGGCTCTGAGCAGCCTTCAGGCAGACTGACACTGACTGGGGTCCTGTTGTAGTCATGGAGGGGATGGAGTGGCAACTGACCTCATCTCTTGTTGGCTGCCACTTGCTCTATCAGATTGGGCCCCAGGGAGTGGCCATTTTCAGCCCCTCTGTTCCTTATATGCTCTTCATGCCGTTATCATGGGGACTCCTGAGAGATGTATGTTATCTCCACTCACAGATGGGTAAACTGAGGCAGAGAGAAGCAGCTTTCCTTACAGAAGGGTGAGTGGCTTGAACCAGCATGTCTCACCTTGTAGCTGACCCTGGTGGGCAGGCTGGCAGCCATGTGCCCGTGTGGGCCCTGGGATTGAGCGGTTGTCTTGTATGTGGTAGTGACTACCCAAAGCATGGTGTCTTTCTCAGCAGCTAGTTGTCTGTCTGTCCATGCATGTGTGTTCCCCCCTCAGTAGACATAGGTTGGGAACTCCGTGGAGCAGGCTCCCCCTCCCCGAAGCAGGGCCAAAGCCACCCAGTGAGCAGCCACCACGAAAATGCAAGCCTGGGCATGCGTGCAGCGGTGGCTGAGAAGGAAGCTGCTGGTCAACAGACCCAACAACAGCTAAGAACCAGCCAGGCATGGTGGTTTATGCCTGTAATCCCAGCACCTGGGAGGCAGAGGCAGGAGGATTGCTGTGAGTTCTTGGCCAGTTCTAGCTGGCCAACAAAACAGACATCTAGGAACCAGGCAGGACCGGGACCCTTTTGGCCAACTGATGCTCACAGAACATCAGAAGGCCAAGGTAGGGTGGCTCTGTGTGGCTTGTGACGGAGCTCCAAACCTCAGGGTGGCTCTTAGGAGCCTGGCGTGGCCAGTGTCAGGTGGGGAGTGACTGAGGAACAGTTTTATCTGTGAGTACAGTTTTCTCCAAGCCCAAGGGGGGCAGTCTAGCATGTTCTGCCTGCACTTGCCCTACCATGGCCTTGTGTGGAGCCCAGCGCATGGCAGAGCTGAAGCAATGACTGCGCATGGCCGGGAGCTTGGTGGCCAGGGATCACGGGTTTTAGGGTGGGAGCTCAATGGTTGGAAGGGAGCCTGGGCGAGGCTGGGATAGTAAAAAAGCACCCCCCCAACCCTTCCCAGTTCCATAGGGAATGTTGTTGGCGCTCTGCCTCATGGTGTTTACTTGCAGGGTGCAGGCCTTAGGCCTGGGGAAGGCAGCATGCAGGGTAACAGCTATAGCAGAGAAGTCTGGGCTGAAAGCAGGCTTCACTGTCGCCAACCCTCTTGGGACAAAGGCCCAGAGGCCTTTGGCTGACCCAGACGTGGGGTGTCTCCTTTTGCCCCAACTGTTCGTGTGTATAGTGCGGGGACAGCAGCCAGGCCTCACTTACCACATATCTCCATCCTGGATCGTCCGGTCGTTGGGGGCCCCGGCATGGCCGTAGTGCAGCACAGCCGCGTTCTCACCACTGCAAAGAGCCATGGAGGGTAGTTAAGGTCCCACTGGAGGCTGGACCAGGCCCACAGCCGGGAGTAGAGGAACACGGTGTCCCCGCCTGCCTCAGAGCTGGAAGCAGCTCCCCGGGTCTGACAGCTGCCTTCTGGGCCCCAGAGGAAGGCAGCATACACAAAGAGCAGAGGCTCATGGGCCTGGAGAAGGGCTAAAGGCAGGGAGGGTTATGGAAGGGTCCTGTTGTCTCAGGAGCCTCTCAGGAGACCTACCCAGGGCCAGGGAGATGAGAAGCTAGTGGCTCCTTGTTCCCCGTCCCATGGAGCTACTCGAATGAGCAATGCCTTTAGGAAGAACTTGCAAGTCTGTCCAAAGGGGGAAACCCCACCCAGGTGTGATATCTATGGCTCTATTTGAGAGTCTCCGGAATCACAAAAGGAGCAATAATGATTTTTTTCTCTCTATCCATTTCCAAGGACAGAGATGTTCAGATGTTTTATTCATGTGTGAGGACGCTCACTCACATCAGCGAGAGCCGCTCACCGCTGTCCAGGCTGAGCAGCGACCAGGCTGCAGGGATGGAGCTTGGCAGGCTGGCTTGGGTCAGCCCCAGACACAGGAGGCCACTCACAGGCACTCAGAATGACACCTGCAGTCAGCCACTCACACAGCTGTACGTGCCCCCGGAGACCACATCAGTGCCGCCAGAGCCAATGGCTGCCCTGACTAACATGGTTGGTTCTACCATGTGCGTCTGCAGGAGCATATCCATGGTGTGCCATAGACACCCACACGGAGCCCAACACCTGCCCCCCCCAACCACGCAACACTCTTACAAATGGACTCAATCCTGGTACTGACGCAGCTCCATCTATGTTTTATCCGCTGCACACAGCAGCAACCCACCTATTTGCTACAATTTGCTACCTAGAGACTAGCCCGTGTGTCTTATGCTCCCTGTGCACACGCGTGACAGAGCAAGGGGTGCCGGCAGTGGGGGGCAAGGTGACTTCCAGGCACTGGTGCAGGCACAGGAGTGAGCAAGTGCCCCTGACCTAGGGGTTGGGAGGATGAGTGCTCCCTGTTGCCTCTCTTTCCACGAGGCCCAAAACTTACCTGCAGCAGATACAGGTGTAGGAGGTATGGCGCATGCCGCCCCGGGAGTAACAGTAGTGTTGGAACAGGCTGTGGAGAGAGACACATGGCGGGGTGTTACCGGAGTCATGGAAATGGTCTTCATCCTCAAACCAGATCCTCCACATGGACCTGCTTCTGCCACACCCCTGAGTAGGCTGGGGTTCCCCAGTGAGTGTGAGCACAGGGCCAGCCCTGGGCCATGGGACTATGGAGGTCAGAGTGTCGCCAGAAAAGGTGGGCACGGTGGGAGGGCGAGAACACTGGAGCCTGACCCTTGGGAGACAAGCTGGCGAGAGGGACACAATTCTATAGGGCTGGAGGGGTCTCCCTGGGAATCTGTGACTGGTGCATGGCTGAGGAGCAGCATGACCCAGTGTTGTCCTGGGCCACCGATGGAGTGCCGTGCAGCCAGAGTGGCAGAGTGGCTGGGCTGGTGCAAGTGGCCAAGGCAGGGCAATGTCCAGAGAGGTGAGGGGTCAGGCTCCACGTCCCCTTGCTTGAGACAGCAGTAAGCCGGCTGGGCTTAGGGACATGCTCACACCCTAAGCAGGCAGGCCCAACAGCCATGGCTGAAGGGGCAGATGGGCCCAGTGCCCGGGGATGTCCTTGGGGAGAGTGGGGTATTATAACAGGAGCGAAGATGATCCGTAGTCCGTAAGGTTAAGATATCTTTATTCAGATAGACACCGGCCAATCATAAGCCAGAGCGTGCCCAGAGGCAGCAGGCTAGGGAGGCCAGAGAGAGCTCCCACGTCACCACGGGTCATCCTGAACCTCCCCTGACCACGCCCTGACAGGCGTAGTCAAGCACACCTGTAACTAGCTCCTAGGAGGCAGGGCTACAGTGTCTCCCTACAGGGTATCATTACAGTACTGTACAGTCTGAGAGAGTGAGAAGGGAGGGGGTAGGAGGTGATCCAGCCTTCTTTCCAGAAGGTTCCGCAATGAGAATACGCAAGCTGGAAGAGGGCAGCGAGCAATCTCCTCACACTGGGTCCCCTGGGCAGACTTGGAAGAGGCTCTTCAGACACGGATGGACCAGAGAGGTCATATTAAAAGGCCCACACTCATCATCCCAGGGAGACTGCTACGAGTTCAGAATAAGCTTGGGATACATGTCAAAATCTTGTCTTCAAAAATCCAGACCAAAACAAGCAACCAAACAAGAGCAGCAAACAAAAGAAAGCTAGGACTGGAGAGATGGCTCTGCACTCAAGAGCAAGCACTGTCTGGCAGTTTGGCTCCCAGCACCCACATCAGAAGGCTCGCAGCTGCCTGCAGGGTCAGCGTCAGCAGATTTGATACCTTCTGACCTCCACGGGCACCAGGCATGCGTGTGGTGCACACATACATACATGCAGGCAGGCACAACACTCATGCGTTACATAAGAATAAGCAAATCTGGAAAGAAAGAAAGGCACACACACCCCTTTTAAATGGTACGTCACTATGAAGCTCCAGCTGGTCTGGAACTCTAGACCAGGCTGGACTTGAACTGAATTCACAAAGATCTATTTACCACTACCTCCTGAGTGTTTGGGTTAAAGGGGCCTGACAAAAATAAATCTTTTTCTTTCTTTCTTTCTTTCTTTCTTTCTTTCTTTCTTTCTTTCTTTCTTTCTTTCTTTCTTCCTTCCTTCCTTCCTTCCTTCCTTCCTTTCTTTCT